ACTTTTGTTGATGGTAGTAGCAACAGGTAAAGAGCTCCAATGTTCCTGACTTGAGGAGGGGCCACACACTCAGGTCACTATAACATCCACTCTGCCTTTCTCTCCATAGGTGTCCACTCCTAGGTCCAGCTACAGCAGCTTTGGGTTGAGCTGAGAAGGCCTGAGGCCTCAGTGAAGTTGCCCAGCAAGGCTTCTTGCTACACCTTCACTGACTACTATATGCACTGGGTGAAGCAGAGGCCTGGACAGGGTCTGGAGTGGATTGGATGAATTGGTACTTGAGGTGGTAATACTGGCTATGCACAGAAGTTCCAGGGCAAGGCCAAGCTGACTGTAGATAAGTCCTCTAGCACAGCCTACATCTGAGGCTCTGAGCAGCCTCACATCTGAGGACTCTGCAGTCTATTACTGTGCAAGACACAGTGTTGTAACCCACATCCTGAATGTGTCAGAAAATCTAGAGGAATAGAAACCTGTCTTAGGACTGTAATATCAGAGAGATTGGCCTAGATACTTGATCAAAAATAATCATTCCCAGTGTGCATTTTTCAGCAGCCAGCTCTTCACAGTCCTATAGAGTATTTGTCAACATTTCAAAAGGACATCAGAGAACAAAGTAATGCTGATTCAGGATGCTCCCTAAAGTACTCCATACCTTGACTATATCTTTATCAATGACCACCTCTGCTGACATGCTTCTTCCATAATGAAACAAAATCATAAAGCTCTGGTAACATATCACACACACAAACACACACATACACACACACACACACACACACACACACACACTTATGTAAAGAACTCCTAAAAGTCTGAACTTTTCAGACTTTTAGGAGTTCTTTACAGAAGAATAACAGAATATATATATATATATATATATATATATATATATATATATATCATTATATTTTTCAATACTGGGTATCCCACACCAGATTTTGCCTGAAAGAACACTATGTCATGCCTTTGAAAACTATTTCTTCAATTATGTATCTGGATTCAACATTCATAGACCTTTGCTAATCCTTCTGAATTACTGACATTGTATTATACTGGTTTCTGTGTGGCAAATAAGCAGAGTGGCGTCTCTGGTCAAAAACAATAAAATAAGATGTTAAATTATATCACAATTGTATAATAAACAATAGATGATTTTTTTAATCTTTCTCTATTACTTAGTATTGTGTCTTCCATTTGCTCTAGCCGTTCATAGGTCTAATACTTCCATCACAAACTCATTATACCGAGGCAGGGGGTTATAAAATCTCTCTCAGCAGGCTTCTTATGTCGCACAGAACTTATCCTTGTGGCAATGGCAATGGCTGAAGCAGACCATTGACACAACTCAGAGGAGCCGACAGGGAAAGGATCCATTCCCAATTTCCACACCTTGTCAGAATTTCACTGATGTGACATTATAAAGGAGCAGACAATGATCAGGCATATTCCAATCCTAATCTCAATCACTGTGTCTTTCCTCACTCTGCTTCTCTTCCCTGAGGCTCTGGTCCACAGAGTGAACTAGCACCAGCTCAAGTGCTCCAGCAGACAATGCTGAGCTGACAGTTTTGTTAATGGATCACATACACAAAGGACAGAGAGAACATATCAAACATGGTATTGTGTGAAACTCAGTATAAACACAGAAATGGGGTTCTTCCCTGATTTGTTGACACAACCTATAGAGATCTATCCTAATTCTTTGAAAGGCCAAGGTGAATTTATTCTATATACAGACAGCAGGGGTGCACTGAGAAACTTCATAGTTTATTCCTGTGATGGAAACACAACTATTATACAATTGGAATATACACTTTTTACAGTTTTCAACATTTTCATGCATCAGAGAAATACAAATTAGGAAAAAGATTCAGATTTCATCTTATCACAGTAAGAATGACATTTACTAAGGAAACAGATGACACCAAATGTTGATGATTCAATGGAGAAAAAGGAAACATAATGCATGGTTAGTGAGAGTGTGAACTGTTGCATTACCTATGAAATTATGTCAGGAATTTCCTCTAAAACTAAAACTAAAAATGTCAGATGGCCTAACTAAATTATTCCTGAGTAGACACCTATGGACTCTCTACTGCAAAGATGTCAGATCAATTTTATTCAGCATTGCCCTCTTCAGAGCATCTGAGTGCAGAATAAGCCTAAAGCCACATCAGCTGATGAATGGACAATAAAGATGTGGTTTAAGCTTGTCTTCTGTTCTGTGGAGGAACCTGCATGACACCATTTTAAAGGCAGGCACTGTTATGCTGTATTTTTTAAAAATAAGTATTTATTTACTGCGAGAATTGAGTTGCTTTCTGGATCCTAGAACCAGACCTTCCCAAACCCATGACCTTGATCTGTTTTTGAGAATACCCTGGAAACTCCCTGACACTCCCAGTATCCTCCTAATCAAATGGTGGGTGGCAACATGATGATTTTTCAGCCTTCTGTATTTCCTTATTGCACCATTGTCTCCTTCTGTAAAATAACTCATGAAATACTCCTTAAAAGAGGCCCAAGAAGAGGGTTTAGGGCTGCTCTATTTAACCTGAATTAAGAATCAGTCCCGGCCCAGCTCTTGGGTTCACCCCAATAAAAATCAAACTTGTTTCAAAGTTGGCTCAAATTGGTAGTGGTCTTATTCTTGGCATTGGGATTAACACTATCTAGACAACATTCAGCTTCATGCTCCTTATCATTAAACATGTTAGTTCTCTGATGGCAGATTCAACAATCACACAGGATAGCCAATTATATTTCTAACAAAACACTTAACTTAATATTTCTAATTGCTGATGGAAATTATGATCCCTGGTCTCTCAACAGAAATGTTGGGTGTCCTTAAGTGATGCAGTCTCCATGAAATGTCTGTTCCTGTTCTTGAGCATGCTGTCAAGAATGAATCATGCATGGTCAGAATTGAAGGCCTGGATTCAAATGAAAGAACTTTAAGTCTTAAGGGACTTGAATGGAGAGAACAGAATTCCTGTAGGAAAATGAACTATTAAAAATAATTGTGGATGCATGGGAGATGGCTGGAAGGGAGGATCAAAAGGGGAGCGTGAGGAAAAGTGGAGTACCAGAGAGAATAAAGGGCAAGAGAGCTAAATGTAAGAGCCAGTTGAGGGGAAGTATGGAAACCTATCAGAATAGAAGAATCCAAAAGACGAAATGTAACATGAACACAGGCTACAACTCCGTGGATTTATAGTGTTATCTACCTACAAGATATGTTATGTCAATGATGCTAAAAAGATTGTGGGAGTAACCATCAATATATGATTTGACATATGACTCATTCAAGAAATAGAAACCTACTCTATACTACTTGAGTGAAAAATAATTTTAAATAAGATAGACAGAAACCTAGAATAAAAATAAATATTGTAGTTCTATAAAAGAAGATTGTGATAAAATGACGCCGAATGACATTCTTCTCTACTCAAAATCAGTGTCTTGCTCAACCATGATGAGAAAAGCTTGCTCCAGCAGCACTTGGGAACACATATAGAGACCCACAGACAGACAATATTCTGAGAGTGAGAGACCTAGAACTCTAAGCACTATATGAGAAGTCTTCATCAAATTCCCTCAGGGTGGTGGAACACAGGAGTAGAGGAGGAAAGAGTAAAAGAGCCAGAGGGAATAGACCCACCAAAGAAATAAGGCTTCTAAAACAACAGGATAGTTGCACATATATATTCAAAGAGACTAAGGTTTTATGCACAGGGCCCTCATGGGTCTGCAGCAGGTGGCATCCTAGGGATGAAAGGGGAAGAAGACACTGTGCCCATTCCTAACACAAAAGCTACCTCCAGTTGATAACCACTTGCAAATTAAAAATCACTTTTCTCTAAGGGAGTCTCACTGAGCAAACCAACTACTCTTAAGCACAGGCTGGATGTGTAGCAGTAGATGGCCATCAGAAATCAAATTTCTATGCATTTTTGGAGATTCCTTGTCTCATAATATCAAATGGCTTTTATCATTTTATTTATTTATTTATTATCCAAAAGTTCCTTTGCCTGTATACTACAGCTTCTAATTTAATGTATTTATGGGAGTCCAGAGTATGTAAATCAGGAGGTCTCTGTATCTTCACCAGTTTCTTAGCCCTGCCTTGGTCTCTCTTTCTTCTGTTTGTTTTATTTGTCTGGTTCTGATGTGTTAGTTTTTGTTTGATATCATCTTATTTTATTTCAATATAATTCACTAGAAGCCTGTTTGATTTCAAAAGAGACACAGCAAGATGGGGTAACTGGATTGGAGGTCAGGTGGGAAGATTTGGGAGTTGAAGAGGGAGGAGAAACTGTAATCAGGATATAGTCCATGAGAAAAATGTATATTCAATGAAAAAAGACTAACTATTAAGTAAAGATTACTAGGAATTGAGGAAAAAGAGAAGGACAAATATTGTGGCCAAACACTTACACATGATGTAAACTGCAAGAGGAATCCCATTTGTACAGAAACCTGAAGAAGAAGAATGTCCTCTGTATTTTAATCATTAGTGTCTGTGGACTGGCTATCTCACACCGGCTCCCATGATACTGTCACATGTCTAACCCAGGTGGTCTGTAAGCCAGGACAGTATAAACAATGAATGGGATCCCTGAATGAGGATCATAACTTGCAGAGTTCCCTGCTCCTCCTCTCAGCATGTGTTTCTTCTACATTTTACTGATTAGATAGAGCAAGAAGTATGTGTGGACCCTGTACAACAAAAATATGACAGTGTGCCAATGTTCTGGCAAACATGGAAACCCATCTCCTGGGTAGGAAAAAAGCCAGCTTACTAACCAGAAAGCAGCGAACTCAGGAACCAAGTGTGAAAAGAAGGTTGGCCCTGACATGTGACAGAAAAATAAATACAGGAGGAAAAGAATGTAGTCGAGGAGGTTGGACTAGGACGTGGAGGTTGAACATGCCAAGGTGTGTTTCCTGTGATCCCTGTAGTCCTCATGCTTTCTTGCTCCATATTCACACTGTAGGAAGTCAGGTACAGTGGTGGACACAGTGTAACAGACAAATGGAGTGATATCTGCCCTCCCCATTTCTAAAGACAAGGTAGACTCCCCACATGCAAATGCATCTTCTAGCTCTAAGTTAAATCCCCTCCTGGACTGTGGGAGCTCACATCTCTCTCACAGCAGGCTGACCTCTGAGGAAGAGGAGGTGTATCCTAGAAGATGACACTATTGGGTCTTCTGTGTCTGGTGACATTCCTTCCTGGTGAGTGTTACCATTTCATACATGTGTCCATGAGGGGTTGTGACAACCTGTGATTGACAGAACTGTCTCTTCTTGTCTGAAGGTATCCTGTCCCAGGTACAGCTTCAGGAGTCAGGGCCTGGCCTGGTGAAGCCCTCTCAATCGCTGTCCCTCACCTGCTCTGTCACTGGTTACTCCATCACCAGTGGTTACTACTGGGCCTGGATCAGGCAGTCCCCAGGGAAGAAGCTGGAGTGGATGGGGTACATACGTTATAGTGGTGAAACCTACTACAACCCATCCCTGCAGAGCCGCATCTCCATCACTAGAGACACATCCAAGAACCAGTTCTTCCTGCAGCTGAACTCTGTGACCACTGAGGACACAGCCACATATTACTGTGCAAGAGACACAGTGAGGAGACTTCAGCATGAGCCCAGACACAAACCTCCCTGCAGAGGAGCTCTGGACCAGCAGGGGGCACTCAGCTCTAACCAAGCCCAGCAACTCTAAGACTTCAGAGTTGGAAAGAAAAAAAATCAGGTGTTCTCTGACTTTTCTTCTCATTCTTTAAGGACAGGGAGGCTTTGGTGTCATTTCTCTCTCTGATCATGAAAACTGTGTTTTTGTAAAGTCACATTTGCCTATTTCTCATTGTTACTCTCAAGATGCTGTGTGTGGTAATACTTCTATTTTTTTTTAGTGGTGAATCTAGTTTTTATATGCTGTGCCATGTCTGGTCTTAGGAAAAAAAATTATTTAATGAAAATAGTTTTTTGAAACTCAGCTGACCTCAGCATCATACTAATTGTCACATAAAAATGAATTCCTTTGATTCTCCATGCACACCCTCAGATACATCTGTATGTCAGAGCACTTGCTAGAGTATTGACACAAAGGAGTTGCTGTTATGGAATAAGAACGTGTTTTAGACTTAAATGGGGGTCCATACATCACTGCAAGAGTGTTACCAACCCTGTAATGCAGACCATGGATTTCATCATGTCCACTGTGCATGGCTCTGGTAAGGACTTTTATTGGTGAAATTATTAAGACCACTCCGTGTAGTTAAAAGGAAGATTTATTTAGTGGATAACTCACAAATGAAGGGATAGGTAGGTCACGAGGCCTGGAGAAGTTGTATCACAGTCCAGCAGTGTTCTATGGAGCTCTGCTAGGTCAACTTCCACCGTCAACAGTCCAGGAACAGAGAGAGCGCTGGCCCATCCAGATCTCGGGTGTCTCAGCGACTCCCTTGGCCCCACCTTGTAGGCATGGTGGTTGCCCAAGCCTCAGTGGGGGTTGGAACTTCCAGATCAAAGCTGGTATGGCTACCCACTACGTATTTGCTCTTATTCACTCTCAATTTTGAATTGTTTTGAAAAAAAAGTACATAGTTTTGCATTGTGGTTAAAAACAAATGCTCATGTGTTTACACAATTAATTACTATTTTTTAAATGTGTCATTAAAAAAACCACTTGTAATTTAGCAAAGAACTCTATAAGTTATGTGTGTAGATACCCCTGGGCCTGCACCATTAGTGTTTGATCTGTGATTGGTGATCTCCTCCTACAGAGTTTCATGGGAGTGGATACCTAAGCCAAGTGCAGACACTAAAACACAGTACCTCATCCAAGTGGAAAATCATATCAGGAGATAAGTGGCCTTATACCATGTGTTTCCCACTGAGTTAACAAGATTGATAATCAGTTATGTGATGCTTTTTTCAAATTCTGAATGTCCACTTGGGAAATCCTGTAAAAACCAAAGATGAGAAATAATGGGTGAAAAATATCCCAGAAACTCTAATAGAATCACCAAGCAGGTGGCAGAGAGTGCACAGTGGTGGGGATCCCTCAAACCTGCACTGCACATCTTCTTCCAGTGATGGGACCCGTTTTCCCTAAGGCCACACACAGACAAAAGATCATGGATAAAGACACAGGGACTCAAAGATGAGGTTTTCAGAGATGAAGAAGTTGATGGACATCCAGCCAGGCCAGCCAGGTCTCAGAGACTGTCTTCTATTGTGAGGATTCTCTAATGAGGGCCATACCTCCAACTAAACAGTGCCAAGTGGTCCTGGGAGGAAGTCACAGCCTGGAGGATGGAGGAAGGAGAGGAGGCCACCTTCATATTCACTGGGCAATGTCTGGCTGACAGAATCCACATGATTTCTGATTTGTATGGGAGTGGGTTAACAAGGTCGGTATCAAGAAAACATCCCTGAGGACTGTGCCTCTAGTTCTAGGCATCACCAGGTAAATCACCCTGTCTAGTCAGGAAAATTGACCTGCACTCTGTTTCCCTTTATAACCTCTAGTGACTCCCTAGAAAGAGTAACACCAGCACCCAGTCTTACCTTGAAAGCAGAGCCCTGGCTGAAGTGCACTCATCTCTTTACACAGGAGTCTGCATCAAAGTATGTGTATCCAGGAACTGCTCTTTTGCCTGGTGGCTGTTCCCTGCAGTATGTTTAAGTAAAGGAAGCTGGGCATGTAGTCCTAATTTTTGTTTATAATGAACAATGATTGTCACTATTCTCAGGTGCACTGTCCAAGGCATGGCTACAGGAGTCAGGTCTGGCCTCATAAAAACTTTGCACACCCTGTCACTCACCTGTACTGTTTGGTTTCTGTGTAACAAATCATCACATTCACTGGGTCTAACAACAAACAAGAAATGGTTAGAATATGCTGGCACCATACTATGGACTATTGGAGACACAGTTTGTAATGGGGACTTCCAGCAGCAGTATCAGTAGAGATATCTCTTATATCCAAGTTTCCTTATATCTCTAGCCCCTATCCAGTGTGCCAGCAACATGGGAGGAGACTTCAATGTGAACTGAGACACAAACCTCCCTACAGAGGAGTCCCAGGAAAAACAGAGGCACTTAAGAACTGAGTAGCCTAACTCAGAACTTCTAATTGCTGCTCACACCATAGGCAGTTCTGAATTGTCTCCATGTGCTTCCTAACAAACAAGCATATGTCTGTTTACATTTTAGAACATGTGGCTTCCCCTTCCTGTTAAAAAGTCTTCTACAGACCCTTTGGTGTGTCATAGTCTATGAGAATTTCTATTTGCTTAATTTCTAATAAACATATCATTATTTCACCATGAAGCACCACAGATATGCATTTGTCTCATGCTATCAGATGAAATAAACATAAGAATAAAGCTTTTCTAAAGCTTTTCATGTTTTCACAAAGATCTGTAACTTTAAGACTTGGTGTTGATAGCATCAATGGGAAATCACAGGGTAATTTAAATAGTTTAATAGCATTTCAATTTATTTCCTCTCATAGGGACTAGAATCTAGATCTTCATTGAATCAATGTTATTATCAAGATAGATGAGAAAACAGGATGTCTACTGTTTCCTGCTTCCAATGTGTTACTACTCTAACAGAGTAGTGGTAATTAATTTTTTTCAATCCATGCATATTAGAAATTTGAATCCTTTTAATGATTAATTTGCAACCCAATGTCCCATGCAATGATTTCTTTCAAGATGTTTCTTATTTGCTCAGCTTGTGGAAAAGTCTGAATGACCATTGTGCACATGCCAGCTCATGTCATCTACTGTCTCTTTCCTAACTCTCTTCCAGTGGCAAAAGATTTTTCCTTATCACAGTTTTCTGCCTCATGTTAGTGTTTTCTTCTTAACGTTGGCTCCATGCTTAATGCAATGCAACTCTTTGTTGCTGATGAAGCTAGGAAATTTGAAAAGTTTTACCTGTGAATTAGAGAAGCATTATTGGGAGAAGTGATGTTTGCTGTTGAATTAGTTGTGTTACGGAATTCTGTTATCTGTAAAAGGAAAGAGAGTCTACCAGTGCAGACCTGAGCCTTGTCTAGATTCTATTATCATGACAGCTTGTGTTAAGATAGTTTGGGAAACAAACACACTATAGAATATGGGATTACTGAGATCAAGACCAACCCAACTTACTGAACAGCACAATATGAAGATAAAAAACTAAGGGATCCATGGTCTGTTATCTAATGTCCATGTGAAGGTCAGCCCACATGGCTGCCAGTGACCTGTGATGACCACAATGGGCCTGCATGTTGATCAAGCTCTGGAAACAAGGTGTGTTTACATTAACTTCTCAATATCCTCCAGGTATACTGAAGTAAAGAAGTAAATATTTTAGCAATATTTTATGAATATGAAATGAACTTTTCCCCTAGGATTTGGGCAAAGAAATCATTCAGCAATGATGTGAGTCCAGTTGACATTAACCTTGCAAGGACCAGCAGTTTCTTAGTGAGCCAGGATTTTCTGATCATGGTCAGGGAGAACTGGATTTAACTAGGCCAGGATGGAGAGGCCACAG